AGTATAAAACCACTAAAAAGTTTTAAAAATTTTTGCTTTGCATGACATGACACACTCACCAAAAATAATAAAGCGGATAGAATAGGTTAAGCGTTAAAATGAATCGATGGAAGAGCGGTTTGTTTGTCATCCCGCAGGCTGACTGTAGGGTCGAGGTTGGGGTTACTTTGTTATTGGCGCTTTTCCAGATCGTATAAGTATCTTTAAATGCTTTCGTTCCTACTTCTACCTATAACGCATTGTTTATGGCCCTTCCTTATGTGTTGTGCTTTGGATCATGCCGCTTTTATGTTTTCGTATATTTGCATTTTATTAGGTTCAACTGGCGTTCCTTTAAGTGCAACACAACTTTTGTTGTCAGAAGATGGCTACTGATGCAATTGATGCCTCTGGAACTGCTCCGAGTGGTGGTGAGGATGAATCTGTGAAACCGTCATTGGCCGTGGATGAAGGTACTACGGAGCCCCAGCATAACAACGATCCCTCCACTCCGGAACCCACAAAAGAGTTGCCTCTTAGGCGGAGCAACCGCGGCAAAGGTCGATCGGATAGGAGCAACCATGGGGACGAGCGTGTTCAGTCCTGTGTTGTCGGCACTGTGGAATATAAACCCGCAGATTATGTGTACTTTGAGGAGAGTGAGTCAGATTGCTACGCTGTTGGGATAGTTGACGAGATCAAGCTCTCACGACGAGAGAAGTGCACATTGGTTGTAAAGTATTTCTGGCGGACGTTTGATGTGCCTGATGTATCCAAGCAAGCGTTGCTGGATCGTGAAAGTGCAGACAAAGGTGACCCTCGAATTCTTGCTCGGGAGCTTTTTATTACTGACTTACAGACTTCTATCGACTGCAATCTGCTTCGGGGCAAGTGTTCAGTTGCTCAGTTCCCAGAACTAATAAATGCTCTTGACTCGTTCGATCCCACAGTGGAGGACTCCTTTTATTACGTCTACGCCTTTAATCCTGAGTCGAAGCGTCTACTTTCCATCCGGGCCGAAATAAAGGTAAGTTGATCTTGTTTTTTTATCCTGAACACATTAAATTCACGTGTTTGTTTGATCCATAAGGTCAGTTAAGCCGCCTATGCTGCTTACCTGAATCTGATTAGTCAAACTACCCTAATAACAGGATTGGGCTGGCTTACCTTCTTTTTTATTTCTTTGATGGAGGGAATTCCAGATCATGAGATGGTAATTGTGTGGATTATGCTGCTAAATGTGTGAATTCTCATCGAGCGTACAGGTCTCTTCTAGTAATTTATAGATTCACGCTGTGTTGTGAGAATTTACCTGTCTACGTCGCTTGGTTTCCCACGCCAACAGGTTTTTAAGCCCATCACTTATCATTGCTTTTTCATTTTTCCACTTTTTAAAGCGAAAGCTGAAAAATGGAGCTCTCTTAGCTAACGTGGACACATCGCTTTTCTATCATGTGGCAGACTCTCATTCTCCATCATTGTTTGTTGGTCTTGTAAATGCCTGCACGAGTTTACTTGCCTCCTTT